AACGTTTACAAAATATATCAGAGTTCATACAATTTATATCTTTAGACTACATGCCAACTACACTCTATAAACAGTACATATATTTTCTGATCTAACATTTGGTAAGGAGAACTGACCTGTCTTACTCCGCATTACTCTTTACTCTTCTCGAAACCTACGTGTGAAACAATCACACGCTAAGTCGAAGACTTAGTGAGGCATAAAGAAAACACATCTAATGGAATTCATACCCACTAATCATGCATGACTGTTTTATGCTATCAAATTATACAACTCATTTACATATACATCAACATATATTCGTGCATATTATGTAACAGATACCATTTGATACCATTACCCCTATCACAGATATATCATATCATGCACACATCATATCACAAATCATATACATATATCACATACATTGTTCTCATATCACCAATATCCATACCTGTAAGCATATTACTTTAACATTCATGAATTTGTATTAATGAGTTTATTGGCCCATGATATCATATTGAGAACCTAAGGTATCTGAGTATTGTGAGGTTGTGCACTATGTTGTCACCACAGCTCGTATAAATGCACCGAAGTGCCGTGTAGAATTACACCGAAGTGCCGCGTAGAATTGCACCGTAGTGCCATATAATGATGTCCATAAGGACCAAATAGAATTCCTTAAGAATCATATACATATGCTAGGGATCATATATGTGTCTCACCAGACTTCACACATGTTCCAAAGAATATATATATATCCCGAAGGACCGCGTAGACCCTCTACTCTTGGCATGCCAACTATACCCCTAGCTCTCAAGACACATAACATGGGCATTTTCTTTTATACTTATCATTTCACATAAACTTGTAATTCACTTCCCATATCACGTATCACATAGCTTCTTTTCATATTATCACATAGTCACATAGTTCACTTACACGTAGATCATTTCCATATCATTCTCATGTCACATATATCATGTTTTCATATAATTTCTATCATTGCTCACCCAATCACATTTATTCATGTAAACATACTTATCATATCTTGTTCACATAAGATCATATATGCTTCATATAACACATATAACACTTTCTCCTAGCTTATATCAATTTTCAGAGTTCTTTCATATTACCTGATGACATATATCATATAGATATATAATAACGGATATCATATTATCTACCTTATGCTCTATTTCTTTGTATTCCCATAGATTATAAATTATGCTGTATTTCTAAACATATATCATTTAATAGTATTTTTATTTAGGTACTAATTTAATCTCTTTACTTAATTCAATTTCATATATTCATTATAATCTTTTCATATAGCTCCATTATACTAATTCTCATAATAAATCATACCACTAAGTACTTTTCCAACTTATGTTTCCATTATGCATATACTGTTACCCATGTTTACCTAGTTCATATCACTTTTTATAAACTCACTTTCATCATATTTTCCTATTATTACATATTTTATCTCATAACCATGTATCCACATAGTCTTATATTTCATTATCATATTACATATACTTGTTCTCCTATGACCCTTAATAAACATATATTTCTATTTCCCTACATCTCTCGACTTATCTTCTATATTCCTATAATTTCATAACTTATTTTATATCATTCTCCCTTTTTATTCACATAAACCATCTATTTATTTATTTCAATTTCTCATGACTTCCACAATACTCTTTAATAAAACTTTGTAGCTCTTCACTATAATACATAAACCATAGTTTCCTTTAATTTATCGATCTTCCCTATATTACTTATGTATCCTTATTTATGCCCTCGAATTCATACTATTCTCTTAGAGTCTCCTAACATTTCTCGTATAATCACTTATACCATATCATATGACTTATACTTGATTATCTTATTCTCTCATGTTCATTTCATTTCTTATGACTCTATCATATAACTTATTTCATGTTCTTCCATTATTACATATTAAAGTCTTACATAAATCATATAGCATATACAAATCATATCATTATCTTTAGTCATGCATACATACAATCAATGTAATACATATAATCACATATAGTTATAACCAACACATAATCATGTCTATGACTTCATGCATATTACTCTAGAAATAGACTCATCGCAAGTCTTATTTCCATTAAACGCTACATGTCACTAGTATGCACTCACCTGGCCTCACTAGTCAATTTCAATCTCTTATCTTTCCCTTGATCGATCTTACTTGCCAAATGTTCCGGAATTGCTTTACGCGCAGAATCTACATAGATGTACATTTTGAGGCAATCATTAGATACCTACACCTTGTAATTGGATACTAGCAACTTAAACGAACTTATTAAACCAATATCCACATTTTCCTTTAGGGGGAATCGGTTCCCTACTAAGGGGGTATCGATTCCCTCATGACATTCTGGAAATTTTTGTTCGTTTGAAGGGGTATCGGTTCCCCTTGAATGGGTACCGATTCCCCTTGCCCATAAATCATATTTCAGCCTGAAAATTACTTCATTTTCTCTCAAGCACTTCATATATCATCCCCCTTTTCATTATTAACTCTAGTACACATACTTAAACCAATCTATATTCATTTATTCCATCTTAAACCTCAAAATCCTATATTCCATATGAGATTCAAAAATCATACCAAATTTTCAATGTGTTCTAATTCCAATTCTAACACTTCATACTTCTTAATTAGATTGATGACAAGTCAAATTCATCCATAAAACCTCAACAACCATACCATATCAAAATTTCATCTTAAAACTCATATTGCAAATTCCTTCATAATTCCTTTATCTTATTGTTTAAATCCCATATAAGCTTTCCTTAAGCTTATTTAATACCCAAAGAATCAAAACTAATTTATAAATTCAAGAATTAAGAAGCTGAAATTAACTCACCCTTATGAAGTAAACCAACGGGAAGAAGAAAGAAGAAGAATGAAGCTTTCCAGATACTTCCTCACCCATAAGCTTATCTCTTTAAATAAGAGATAAATATCTTTTACATAAAAAGACCATAATACCCTTTCAATTCTTCCATAATTACCATTTAATCCACTATCAAAATATTACACTTTAAATCCCTAAACTTTTCAATTTTTTCATAAATTGATCACCAAATTCTAAAACTTTTCAATTTAGTCACTAACCCAGTATTGCGGATGTTACAGGGTCTGTTTCTTTTTCTGAAAAATCATCAAAATCCGAGTATTGACCAAGATCAAAGTCCGGGTAGTGACCAAGATCAAATTTCGAATACTGACTAGTACTCACAATTTTTTCTGTTAGCTCATCATCGTCTAACTGGTCAATACGAAAACCGGAATTTGGTGCTGAAAGTTGATTGGGATTTGGATTAGGGAAAGGTTGTGGGTTTTAAGATTGTGTTTGGTATTAGAAATGTGGTGAAACAATATTTGCTTGGTGATGAAATTGTGGTGGAACCATTACATTTTGAGCACCATAAACTGGGTTGAAAAACTTAGTTGATTACTACCCGCTACTGACCCAACTTCACTACTTATAGGTTTAACAACATACAATGTAACATCATCACTTGAAACACTAATGTAAGCAATGAATCGTTCAACATCTTCATTATCGGTTAACAAATAAACTTTACTATTTCTCTGATAAGATAGCCTAAATCTACTTAGGGGCTCTAAATTCAATTTATTTGCAACACGTAACATTAGAGTTTCATAAGTTAACTTTTTTAATGACAGTTTTAGTTGAAGATTCATGGGTAAAGGCATATATTGTAAAACACCATGAACATTCTCCCATGACCCTCCAAAACACAAATCTATCCAAACATGATCAACAGTAGATGATTTCATTATTGTAAATTAATTTACTAAACAAACGAGCTGCGAAACTAAAACCTGTTGCCGGATGGGGAAGGATGTCGTTGGATATAGAAACGGATGTCGCCGGAGAGAGTGATAGATGGAGATGTAATGAGTTGCGATTTAGGGATTTAGGTTATGAGTTGTTGCTGCTGCGTAGTTATATACCCAAAACATTTGTGTTGCGAAATTAAAACCTGTTGCGAATTCAGAAATCGAGTTGCGAATTTGAAATTTAGTATTGCGATAGTCAGAATCTCGTTGTGATTTATAGATTCGCATTGCGATTTACGTATTCGCATTGCGATTTACGGATACACGTTGCGATTTTATGTATTGTCGTTGCGATTTACGGATACGCATTGCGATTTACGTATTCTCGTTGCGATTTACAGATAAGTGTTGCGATTTACGTATTCTCGTTGCGATTTACGGATACGCGTTGTGATTTTACGTATTGTTGTTGCGATTTACGGATACGCGTTGCGATTTTACGGATACTCGTTGCGATAGTCAGAATCGCGTTGCGATTTATATGTTCGCGTTGCGATTTTCATATTCGCGTTGCGATTCTGGGAACTGATTTGCGATTCTGGAGATCGCGTTGCGATTTTTATTTCGCATTGCGATTTTGTTGGTCATTTTGGCAAATCCAAAAAAAGTTGGTTAAAATCGAATATTATAAGACATTTTTTGTCACTGAGGCGATTCTCTCTCTCTCTATATATATATATTTCATGTGTGATATACATATATTATGCAGAATTGAGATATTCAACTCAAACTTCAAATTCAATCAACTAATTACTAAAGTATTTGAGTTACTCAAATCCCATTTTATAATTCAAACTTTATCTAAAAAAATTTCGAGTTGAAGATTTTATGAAATTACAAATTAAATCAAGTCAAATTGAATTTTGAATAGAATAAAAAGTCAATTTACTCTAATGGAATCAAATTTTACTTATCCCTAACGTGCAGCGTTGTAATGGCCCTTTGAACTCTTTAGTGATTGCCCTTCGATGAAAAAAGAGTTGATTCCGAAAAAGCCCAAACAAAAGAAAAAAGGGCAACCCAAAGTTGAAGATATTTTGACAAAAATACCCTTGATCGTTGTTTAAACAAACCTAAAAATCCAAACACTCAAACCTCGCATTGACGCTCAGTTCTGTGCCCCTGTAAATTTCCCAATCTCCCCTTTGCCCTTCCCTTCCTTCGTCCCTTTTTTTTCCTAATTCCCAATTTTCTCCCGGAAAATTGAAAACCCCTTTCTTACCCTTTTAACAATTATTACCCGCCAAAAACAATCAAATCCCCAACGTTCTAAAATTTTCTTCCTCATTTCTCTGCATAACTCCAATCCAATTGTGTTTCCCACCAAAAACCCTAGTTTCTTCCTCCCTTCTGGGTGGTTTCTCGCTTCAACGTTTTGTTCCTTGTGTTCTGTTGCAATATCCACCTCGTTTTTACGCTTCTTGAAGCTTATTGTCCGTGTTATTTTATGGGGTTCATTTTAGTTTTCAGCTAGGGTTTCCAGTTCCAGGTATTTCGACCTTCGTTTTCTCGGATTTCCTTTTTTTTATTGTTGTAAATTGTAATTGATGGGTGTTCTTTGTTTTTGCTAATTTAGTGACTCCCCCTTAAATTTTAGTGTGGATGAAGTGCTTTAGAGTTATTAAGACTTTCAAGCAAGCTGCTTAAAGCTCTTGTTTTGTTTTAGGAATTTTTATGTTTGATTGGTGGATATTCTTTTTTTTAAATTGTTATTTTATTCAGTTAGTTTAGTTTCAGAGTGTTAAATTTTATATCTTTGCTGAGTTCCCTAGTAGTCACTGCTTAAAGATTTTCTCATTGCTCCCCCCCCCAAAAAAAAAAAAAACCCCTAACAAACAAGCAAAAAAATATTTTATGAAGAATGTATAAAATGGAACTTGTTTTTGTTCACATAGAAAGTTAGTGAGAAGGAAAGTAAAATGTTAGCTATTTGTGTGGATGTGTAAGATGTTGAACTTTTTGGTCAAGATATACTTGACACCAAGCTTAATTGCTTTGTTTGGAACATTAGGGAAGCCTAATTGGAAAGCAAAATATTAGCTATTATGTCTGTGGCACTTTTTCAGGCTTTGTAATCCTTGGGGTATTTTTAACCATCTCATTCAATAATACTTGAGGAACTCTTTTCCCCATTCCGCTTTTTGTCGCTAAATCTTTTCAGTTTTACGACAATTATGAAGGGTTTTTTTTTTATCAAGACCTCCAATTCTTATAAATAAAATGGTGTTGAGTTTATGTGTTTGTTATTCCCTTTTACTTGGCATTTGGATTTCCTTTTCATTCGTTATGTATATTGATTTGTTTCCTATGTTGGTTAATATAGTATTAGTAGTAGTCGAAACTCAAGACTAAATGTTTTCTTGGGCAATATGGATGTTGCCGATCTGATTTCACTTCTTTCCATTCAAGTGAAAGGTTGCTGCTTTCAGTGGATTATTCCATATGTTGTGCCCATGTTTCCTTTTCATGATTAAGATGATAGTGTTGATAAAACAAAAATGATCTTTTGTCAAAAAAAAAAACGACCTTTTGGGCTGCATTTGAAATATTGCAAAATAGGTTGGATACACTGCTTCATGTCTTTCTCTCCGTATGTTAATAACTTGTTAATTTGTCATGATTTCCCGTTCATATAGTCATTCCTTTTTCTTCTCATTGTGTTTCGGGTATTTCATTTGGCAGGTATGTGTTATCAGTTTGTAGATTCGGGTTGTGTTTTGGGTCTGAGTTAATTTGTGGTTCCTAGACTGGTTGTTTTATTCAATGGCAAACAATGATCTGATACTCGGACAAAGTCACAGTTTAGCATTGGGGCAGAATCAGACACTGGTGTTAGGCCATAATCATAATTTGGGTCTCACCCAGAACCATGAATTGGATTTAGGAACAGGCCATGATCATCATTTAGGCTTGGGACAGTCTCATGATCATGACCTAGGTTTAGGTCACTCTCATGACCATGAATTGGATTTAGGACAGAGCCATGATCAAGAAGGGGATGTGGGTCACAGTTACAGGCATGGTAACAATTTAACTACAGATCGAAAACCTGACCACGATGACCATGAGTTGACTTTATCAGAGAATAATGTTTTGGTTGTTTCTGAAAACCAAGAGCTTGATGGTAATCTGGAATTGGCTGTGGTTGATAACCAAGAGATGGGAATTGATCCTGCCCGAGATTTGCAGCAATCCCAGGTTTTAGTCAGTCTCCCTCCTGTCCTCCAGTTTCGGAATTCTAATCCGAGTTATGAATTGGCAGTTGGGCAGGAGTTCCCTGATGTTAAAAGCTGCCGCAGGGCATTGAGGGATACAGCTATTGCTCTTCACTTTGAAATACAGACCATAAAATCTGACAAGACTCGCTTCACAGCCAAATGTGCGAGTGAGGGATGTCCGTGGCGTATACATGCAGCAAAGCTCCCTGGTGTTCCAACATTCACAATCAGAACCATCCATGGGACCCATACATGTGGAGGACTCTATCATCTCGGCCATCAACAAGCCTCTGTGCAGTGGGTGGCACACTCTGTTGAGCAGCGATTAAGGGAGAATCCTAACTACAAGCCAAAAGAGATATTGGAAGAGATTCATAGGGTTCATGGAATAACCTTATCTTACAAGCAAGCCTGGCGAGGCAAGGAGCGTATTATGGCTGCTATGCGTGGATCTTTTGAGGAAGGGTATCGCTTACTCCCTCAGTATTGTGAACAGATAAAGCAGACAAATCCGGGGAGTATTGCAACTGTTTATGGAAACCCAACAGATAGCTGTTTCCAGCGTCTCTTCATATCATTTCAGGCTTCTATTTATGGTTTTCTGAATGCTTGTCGACCACTTCTCGGGCTAGATAGAACATTTTTGAAAAGTAAATATCTTGGAACTTTGCTTCTTGCTACTGGTTTTGACGGTGACGGTGCTTTGTTTCCTCTGGCATTTGGCGTCGTCGATGAGGAGACTGATGAAAACTGGATGTGGTTTCTCTCCGAACTTCATACTCTGCTTGAAATTTATACGGAAAACATGCCAAGGCTTACGATTTTGTCTGATAGACAGAAGGGCATTGTGGATGGTGTTGAAGCAAATTTTCCTACTGCTTTTCATGGATTTTGCATGCGTCATTTGAGTGAAAGTTTTCGGAAGGAGTTTAATAATACTATGCTTGTCAACCTTCTATGGGATGCTGCTCATGCCCTGACTGTTATTGAATTTGAAGCAAAGATTCTTGAGATTGAAGAGATATCACAAGATGCTGCGTATTGGATCCGACGAATCCCACCTCGATTGTGGGCAACAGCTTATTTTGAAGGGACACGGTTTGGGCATCTAACAGCAAACATAGTTGAATCCCTGAATTCTTGGCTTTTAGAAGCTTCAGGTCTTCCAATAATTCAGATGATGGAATGCATTAGGAGACAGCTTATGACTTGGTTCAATGAACGCCGAGAGACAAGCATGCAGTGGACATCAATACTTGTGCCTTCTGCTGAAAGATGCGTTGCGGAGGCCCTTGAATGTGCACGTACATATCAAGTGCTTCGTGCTAATGAAGCCGAATTCGAAGTTATATCTCAGGAAGGAACAAATATAGTGGACATTCGAAACCGCTGCTGCCTTTGTCGTGGCTGGCAGTTGTATGGCTTGCCCTGTGCACACGCTGTGGCTGCACTTCTTTCTTGCAGGCAGAATGTTCATCGATTCACTGAGAGCTGTTTCACCGTTGCAACATACCGGAAGGCATATTCTCAAACTATTCATCCCATTCCAGATAGAAGTCTATGGAAAGAGTCGTCCCACTGCGATCCGAATGCCAACAAAGCCCTTGATGTTATCATCCACCCACCCAAATCACTTAAGCCACCCGGTCGACCACGAAAGAAGCGAGTTCGAGCTGAAGATCGTGGCCGTGCGAAGCGGGTTGTGCACTGCAGCCGCTGTAATCAGACGGGCCATTTTAGAACAACATGTGCGGCGCCCATTTAGGTTGTGATTTTGAGGAAGTTGAGTTTACTGCATTAGAACTTGGGTATGTCCCATCTCTACTCTTGGTTTCCCATCAATCTTTTTTGTTAGTTTATCGTTCATTAGATTTGCAAGTCGATGTTTTGTTGTATTTGTGTCATGTATGTGAATTATGCCTAGTATCAGCTATCCACTTGTCCCATATGAATGCTTCCTTCAATAATTATAGAGTATTTACCTCATGATTCTAGATCAAGTGAATCATACCCGTGCTGTTTTCTGGAAACAAAATTAACATATAATATAATTTATAATAAAGCTGTTTAAATAAACAACGTGACGGCTTGTCGATACTGTTTTTAACATTTTAATGCATGCATGATGCATCAGCATGATTATTCACTACCTGGAAAATGTAGAGAGCATACACAAATGTTAGGGAAAAAATATTCAGATGAAAAAAAAAACTAAATTTAGATAAAATAATTATATTTGTAAAAACTCGTTAATTTTAATCAAAATTTTAATATGACCATTCTATTTTTTAAGATTCAGATCGTACGAATGAATTATTATATAAAATAAAAATTCATATAAACTAGATCTATTTACGAGTTTAATTATATTTTTATTTAAATTTTATAATTATATTATTATCATAATTAATTTAGATATTGGTAAAGATGATGTTAGAAAAAAATGTAATTACTGATTTTCTGTAAAAAGAAATTACGATACAAATATTATGAGATTGTAATTGAGAACCAAATAAGGAAGACGAGTAAGAACCCAATTCGTAAAACACAAGTGGGCTGTCAAAAAAACATAGTGCCCAATATGTAAACCCTAAAACCCAATATCTCAGCTAAAACCCTAAAAATCTAATCTACCCATCCATTTCTATATAAGTTCACCTAAAACCCCAATCGCTGCCATCTCCATTACCCAGCGTCTACGAGCTCCAACGCTCATCATCTCTCCCAAAGGTATATCATTTCATTTCTTCATTACTTGCTTGATCTTTTTATGTTTACATTAGCACACATCGAAGGCTCGCAGGTGATTGTTTTACTGGAAATCTGTGAGCTCAGTAGTTGTGCAATATCATGAGTATCATCCTCTTCAAAAGTCTCTACTTTTGATAAATACCCATTATTTATCTTGAGGTTTAAAAGGTTGATGATTACACTTTCTTGGACCCATTTTTTTCGAGATGCAGAGATTCACGTTCTTTTGTATAAAATGTGAATTTGAAGAGAGTACTGAACATTTTGAATATTGTTACAGTTGTGTTACCTAGTTTAACAGAATGTCAAACCCCAAAGTTTTCTTTGATATTTTGATTCGAAAAGCAAAAGCTGGACGAATGGTAATGGGGCTATTTGCTGACGTTGTACCAAAAACTGTTGAAAATTTCCGAGCTCTCTGTACCGGGGGAGAAAGGTATTGGAATGTCTGGGAAGCCGTTGCACTATAAAGGATCGGCATTTCACCTAATCATCCCGAGCTTAATGTGTCAAGGTGGAGATTTCAGGAGGGGAATGGCACCGGTGGGGAGTCGATCTATGGCATGAAATTTGCAGATGAGAACTTCAAGCTTAAACACTCCGGACCTGGTTGTTTGTCAATGGCAAATGCTGGTGCAAACACCAACGGTTCTCAGTTCTTTATATGCGCCGAGAAGACCCCGTGGCTCGATGGAAAACATGTCGCCTTTGGTAAAGTTGTGGATGGTTACAATGTTGTCAAGGAAAATGAAAAAATAGGGTCATATAGTGGCAAGACTTAACAACCTGATGTGATCGAAAACTGTGGTCAACTAAAAGAGAATTGATGCAGAAGCCTGTACTGTGTTTTTTAATTACCAAGTACTGCTCTAGAATGTTTACATAAATAGTTAATGGATAATACAATTTGTAATTTGTTGGAAGTTGAAAAATTGTAAACCTTTTTGATGATCCAGCCCCGAGTGAAAGACTGAAATACCGGAGAGAAACGTCGATCCAACACCGAAATAAGTTCCACAGATTCACAGTGTCTACCAGATTATAAGTGATTAAGTGCCATATAAGGGAACACTGCATTGCTTGAAATGTTTCCTACTAACTTAATATTTAGGAGGATGAAAATGATGGAATGCACATTGAATTCTAGGCACCTTTACGATACGGTTAGCGGAATATTAGATCGCATATCAAACACGGTTAACGAACGGGATGATTCAATATTTGTAGTTGAATGAATTTATGCATTACATGATATGAAACAAACAATGCAACAAAGTATTACACTCACGTTCATTCGCTAAAAACGAAGCCATCATTTGGCACCGTATAGAATGTTGCAGAAATCTAGCTACGGGGGCATTGATGGCCTGCAGTAATATCTCTATTTGCTATCAGGATTAAAACAAAACCACCCACTTTCAAGTTTCGATTCTTTTCATTCCCAATCTTCATCGCTCAATTGATCACTAGTACCATATTTAGGTGGCCTAACCACCAATATCACAGTTCCTATACACTCCTTCACACCCATTTCCTTCAATTCCGATTCTCTATCCACTTTCAACGCACCATCAACCATCGCCAAGTAAAACGCACCGTCCAATTCGACCTCTTTTCTACTCCGATCTGTAACCACTATAATAGCCTCTTCCATATACCACCTATTCGCCTTCCACGGTATAACACTTGCATCATTGAATACGACCGCAATGCCGCCTTCCTTTAACCTGGCTAGCGGTTCCCAACCGGGCAAAACCACCCACCTCTTCCACTCTTTCTCAGCCTCCACCACACCGAAATCCCCTCCACTCCTACATTCAAAAGGCGCTTCCAAAATCAGCTCGACACCCTCCTCCGCCTTACAAACAGGCAAAAACACCACACTAGAAGCCTCGGCAACTTCACCGGAATGCATCGTAACGACTGGAACCCGAACCGGAGCTCCCAAATCATCTCCCTTCTCTTCTGTTTCATCTTTCCCACCCTCCAACTCTCTTAAAACCTCATTTCTAGCACTCTCGGACACAGCCAATTCCAATGCTTGGTTCAAAGCAGCAGTTCTTTCTTCAGAAGGATTCCTATGTTCCCTACTTTGCCTATAATACATAAACGACAAACAATCCCCAGGAAGCCCATAATCAAACCTACTCCAACCTTTATCCATTTGCCTTCTCGGGAAATCCTTAATAGCTCTAGCCAAATCCTGTGCACCTTTAGCATCAAGCCGATTTTCGACTATATATCGAACGGCTTCAGCTCTTTGAGAAGCACTCAAAAGCCTAATCTCATAAAGCAATTCAGCACCACCGGTATCGAAAAAAGACATAAGCTCTTCATCAGTATTGGATTGAACAAGCGAGTCTCTTACCTGGGAACCAACTATCAGTCTGTTCTGCTCAACCCCAGAAACCCCAGTGATTTCTTCTATAGAAGGAGGCGTAAAGCCTTCCCGGTAAAGAGAAGGGATAAGTGGAGCATACTCGAACCAAAGGCCAAGCCGGTTTGCCAACACCTCCAAGCGACCCGGGATGTCGAGTGACCGGAATTTAGGAGGGAGCGGAGACGGAGGTGGCCGGAAAGGCTGGTAAAGCTGTTGCTGTTGAGGTGGGGGATTGGCGGGATAAGGGTGGCTGAGATGGGTTTAAAGGGAGGTTTCGAAGGTGAAAAGGGGAGATGGGAAGATAAAAGAGATGGGGTTTGGATTAAAAATGGAGAAAAGAAGGGAATCTTGGGATTGATGAATGGCTTGAGAGAGGTTGAAGAGAGGATGGTTAAGAGAAAAGTAAAAGATAAAGAATATTTGCAGAGAGGAGTGGCGAAAATGGAGGTCAGCTATGGAGTCCTGCAAGTTTGCCTTATCTGATCTCACTACTTCAAAATATCTATGGGAGGAATTAGATTATGGGTTTAGGCCTGTTCAAGCTTCACATAGCCCATTTGCTCATTTGACTTGGTTGTAGATATTTTCATGGATCAGGTTAAGCCTACCTCCTGATGGGTGGTAATATAATGGAATTAGTAATTTTACTAATAATTTTAATGTAATATTTTAGATTATTGTAATCATTATAAGGGTTGTTATCCTATAATCTTATAATAATCTTCCAAACCTCGTACCCGAAGTAAAAGTATAACTTAATTATTTTGTTCTCTTTAATCTTTTTTTCGATCATAAAATAATGAAACCATCAATTGTACATTCCAATTAGGGAGATGAATTATCTTTTTATTGGAATAGTATCTAGTTAATATTTTCAACTGATAATTATTCACTCTAATCACTCCTTAAATACAAGTAATTCATTCCAGTAAATTTAGCCCCACTATTTGCATTCGTTCCACACCAATGCAAATAGTGAGCGTTAAAATTAGAGCGGGTTACCCATACTTAGAGAGTGGTTAAAGTGAATCATTGTTATTTGACAATTTTAACCCTCTACTTCTCCTATAAAAGGATAACAATTCCCCTAATTGGGACATAAAATTGATAATTTCATGATTTTTTTTTCTCGGATACCCAAAGAAAAAGGGGGGGGGGGGGAATTACTAAAGCAAAAAAAATCTTAGGAAAAAAAACAAAGGCTATAAGGATATGTAGATGATTAAAAGAGTAATGATTTAGATGAGCGATTAGAAATGAACTGTGACCGACTTTATATAGGTGTGAGGTATGAGCAAAATTATCTAAAAAGAGATAAAAGTCCCAATAAAATCTATTTTAATTTAACCACAACTTCACATTTAAAATTTAAAACATTAAATTATTTTGATTTCACCACAATCATATATTCAAAATTTTAAGATTTAAAAAAAATTAAAAATTTTAGACATATTAACTATATATATATATGCATAATACGCTAAATCTTTAAAAATAAAAAATGCTTAATACCAAAATAAGTGCCAAAACTATACATATTTTCCTAAATAGGTGCCTAAACTATTTTTTGACTCATCCCGGTGTCTAACGTTATAAATGTTACCCATTTAGGTGCTCTGACCAGCAACAGTGTTAATTCCCCCGTTAAGTGACACGTGTCACAACCTGATAATTTTGAAAATTTTATTTAAAATTAAAAAGTTAAAATTATTTATTTTTAAAAAAAGAGAACACAAATTTTGAAATAAACGTAAAACTTTGAAAACCTTCATTTCAACCGCTAAACCCACGTCAGCCGCCGCTTTTTGCTGTCGACGAAGCTCCACTTGACCTCTCCTCCCCCCGATGACCAAACCCCCATGAAATCGTGACCGGTCTACGGCCGATTGACGATGAATCAACTTTTTATACCCGCGAAACCTATGATAAAAATCGCGATCCCAACGATCAATCGATGAAAACTACGACGAAGCATAAATAGGAGGATGTAGGGACTATTTCGGTGGTCGTGGTTGAAAAAGACGACAGCGATGGATTAAGGTTAGGATTTGGGATTTTGGGGTTGTTTTATAATATAAGAAAAGTTAGTGTTTTTTTATAAATATCATAATATTTTTAATATATTTAAAAAAATAAATTTCAAAATCACCATATTATAACATTTTTCATTTAAAGGGGAAATTAACGTCGTTAAAGGTCCGAATACCTAAATGGATAATGTTTGTAACATTAAATTCCTGGATGAGTCAAAAAATAGTTTAAACACCTATTTAAGAAAAGTGATATAGTTTAAACAATTATTTTAGTATTAAGAAAAAGAACCATTTGCATTACTTACAATAGTCTTTTAAACATTGCAGCAATAACAATATCAATGTTTAAATAATTATGAGTTGAAATATGCTAAGCAATGGCAGAATTCAGATTAAATTTCAAATTTTTAATGTTTTTAATTAGATCGTCTCATAATTTTTAAAAATGAGTCATTACGTCTTACAAAAATTTAAAATTTTAGCTAAACCTTATTTTTTTTATATAAATATGTAAATTAAACCTTTAAAATTTTTGAAGACTCCTCAAACTCTATCACAAAGTTCCGTTGCTATTTATGCTAAGGGTGCTTCTACCATTTTAATATTTAAAATTTAATATTTGTACTTTAATTTTAAGACATTGAGTCATTGTACAGTATTTGATTTGAAAATATTGGTCCCTTCCTTGGCATTTTTTGAATTTACTGCTATCGACTTATCTAATAGTTAGAAAAGAAAAAAATAATTTTTTAATCCTCTTAATTTACAATTTTTATCATTAATTGAACAGTAAAAATTTCCTATCAATAATTTATAACTTTTTGGGCCAAATTTTAAAAAATTGTAAATGTGGATAACTAAAAATATATTTTTTACTTTTCTCTAAATATTATGTGAGTAATTAACAATATAACTGAACATAAGTTAAATTGACAAACCATGGATTTAAAATCAAACATAGTACATGAATTTAATATCATAAAATTAAGGTATGAAGATTAAAATTTAAAATAATATAGAAATCTATAACATATTTAACAGTGAAGAGAGATGCAGTAAAAAGATGAAGAAAGCATATAGATCATAAAGAACACACATCTACGGGGTCAACCCAACGTCTATCCGTCGCTGCTAACTCTTCTTTATCCCAGAAACTGTTAGAGGAATAAAGTAATGCATCCTCGCCAGGTAATGGGCCACCTGATTTCTGGTGTGAGGGATCAAGGAAACATCACATGCATTTAGTCCTCGAGCTCGACCTTTTACCTCCCGAATCATACTGCTTATTTCCAAAATGTTTGGCGCATTAGACAAGAGCTTCTTGATAACAGTCTTGGAGTCTCTCTCGAAAATGACCTGTAAAAACCCCATATCTAACGCGAACTGGACAACATGCAGAGCTGACTCGGCTTCCGCTGCAAAGGCCGATCGAGGTAAGCCGACTTAACTTCCTTCGACAAACTCCCATTATAAGACCTTCAGTGTCACGAATGACCACCCCTGACCATCCTGAATTCTATCCTTACGAGAAACTTGCATCAAAATTAATTTTGTCAAACCCGCGAGGTGGAAGATTCCAACGACCGACGAGGGGCCACTGATACAAGCTATGTTGCAATCATACGCGCAGGAAACGACAATTTCTAAAATTATAGGTACGGAAACGACAAGGATAATGCATACAAAAATTTTTAAAATTATAAATAGACATAAAAAATCATAAATAAAGTCAATACTTCATATAAAATTAGTGTAACACCCTAATTTAACCCTAATTAATATCCTAACATTTGATAATTTTTTTCAAATCCCTAAATTAATTTTACTGTCCAATTTAAAAATACTGCAAAACTTGTTTCTAAATTCAAAAGCTCTAGAAAAAAGTATAAAATTTATAGAAAGTTTTTTTCTTTTATTGTTTCCGAAAAAATGGAATGCTCCCTTACATTTTTCTTGTTGGAGTTTTTATATAACCCAGTTTCATCGATAAGCTAAAATAAAAGAAAATTACAGGGTATGGAGATGGTAGAGAATTGGGATCTGATGGAATTGGTGGGATCAGTGCAACAGTGAGTGGTAAGGTATGACTTCTCATATTTTAAATTAATTTGTTTTGGAATAAAATTGGTGATTACAATCTTCATTAAAATCAATCAAACTTATACACAATCCAACAATCCTTGTTTTCGTGTATGTAACTTGGTCTGTATGGGATTTGGAATTTGGGTATTAATTACTACTTAGGACATTATACTGTTTTTCCAATTAAGTTACACTCTGTAATTTTGTTTTGGCTTCAAAAATAAGACAGTCTGCTTTGCTTTCATAAGTGGGTGCCTGCCTACCCTTCAAATTCATCTTTTAGGGGACAGTTTGAAATGGCTGTCACGTTGCAGAGAAAATATGAGATTTATCCATCTCGAGGTAACTTCTAAATAAATAATATTTCCTTTTTTACTCATAGCAAAGAGACGAATGAATTTTATTAGTTAGAACCATAGACGACTTTGTGAACCGGGTCCATCTAATAAATTTTCCACGTTGCATGATGAAATATAATTTCATTTTAATATCAAAATAATTACTTTTTTAATAATACGATGTTATTACAAGATAATATATATGTAAAAAAAACTCTCATCCATCTAAAAATGAACCGATGAAACACTCCTAAAACTCTTGTTACCAAAGCAACGTATTATCTTAATACTAAAAAATCATAGTCGAGTGTTCAAAATGGGTCCGGAGAAGTGAAAATAATACCTGAAACTAGAGTTTTAATTTAATCGTAAGATGTTATAAATCGAGTGTTCAAAAAGGGACAGGAGAAGTGAAATTGGTACCTGAAACTTTATTTACCTCAGAAAAACATTAACTTCAAAAGTCTTCTTCTCACAAACTGCTGTGGTCGCCTTTCTTCTCCAATTTCTTTCTATTGATTCGTCTTTTCTAAATATGAACCTAAATTAATACATGCATTGTATTTATTTTATCGTACGTCACCATGCTGTAATGTCATCCCCGATCATTCAACAGAACAAATTGATTTTTCTCTCGTCCTCTTTCTTTGTATTGGTTTAAACTCGTAAGATTATATATATATTTTTTCGCTCAGCAAATGTTTATAATCAAAATTGAAAAGGAAAATGGCCCTACAAACTGTTGAAACCAATACCAATTACATATTGTAACGGTAAACAAAATGTACAACACCAAACACGTCAAAAAGACTCTTCTTAGATAATTAGAATGTTAAGATGTCACATCGAGAATAGCTGAAACAGAGGATGAAGGAAAGGAATTGTATGTCCAACTCAGTTGGTAGAACACAAGGCTCTTAATTTTGGGGTCGTGGGATCGAGTCTCACGGTGGATAATTCATAATTCGGAGGTCTCCCACGAAAGCTGCTCTCAACCTGGTGTTGGGGGCAGCCTACTATCATACCTCCCCTTACCTCATTACATATGAGAATAAGGATCAACTTAGAGGATGAAGGAAATATGATGAAACGAGAGACGACATTCTCTTCCCATTTTTATTGATTAGACCGTAATATCTCTAGACAGAGACCAGCCAATTTATACAAGAGGAAAACTGATAGTTGGTTAGGACACAACCTAACAGCTTAAACCGTTCGAAACCAGCCTCAGTAGAAATCCCATGTGGTGCAGTACATGAGAACCTATCTGCACTCACATACTCTAATACAAATCTACTTATTGAAAGAAAATATATCCTTTGGATATAGGGGAGAGGTGCATGTTAATGAAACGGTGGAGTGCAATAGAATTCAAATAGAGAGTTGTAATCGAGTGAGAGGTGTAGATTACGTGAAATCTAGTTATTAAGGTCGGAATCGCCCGAAAAGAATTCTAGGCCATATTGAGGTTGAAAAACTAGAAGGCCTTCAAAAATGTTCAGTAGAAAAGATGACCAACGTGTGTAGTACAATATACGTTCAGGACAAATTACATGCATGTGGATTCAGTGATTTAGCGGTGAGAAGAATTTGTGGAAAGTACTTTCTCATTGAAAGCCAAGATAAAGAATTTCTTAACATCACGAAAGATCAAACCCTGGTCGCACCTCAAGGATGTTTTTGAGGATATATTTCCATAGTCGGGAATTCCAGTCCATTGTTGGAATCAAATTTCTTTTCGGAGAATTGAAGAAGGGAGGGGCGTCTTGATAGCCTTAGATGAAAATGCTTCTAAGCCTAAAAGCTTTAATAAACTCTCGATGCTTATATCCACTCCCCAGGTTGAACATATAATGGAGAAGATCCGTTTTGATCACTGGCGGATGTACATGTAGGTTGGGCAAGTGCCTACCCTTCTTATATGAAATTCGAATTTTTTCATCTAATTATTCATTTTATTGATTGTGCCTACCTTGAAATTGTATCGTATTCATCTACATACAAAAATTTTATATTATAAATATATATGTGCTCATACTAAAAAAAGTTTCTAAATCCACCGCTGATTTTGATGTTGGAAGTGAAAGCTTTGAAGTAAGAGCGTGGGAGACGAGCATTTCAGAAGATCAAAAATCTCCAACAGCTAGAATGGTTGCTTGGATATTATTTGTGTAGATAGTTATGCTCTATTTTTTGACGTTTGTTCGCAATTAAAATGGCCTTGGAAGTGGTTCTAGAATCTATAAAAAATTCCACGCTAGTGGAGATGGAATCGGTCTCTCAAGTAGTGTTATCACGGCTGATTAATTCAGTTTGAGACCATGGTGTTTCTGAACTTTCTTTAAAGATTTAGATTGTCTGCTTAAAAAATTGGTAAATGTTTGTTCCAGCTTGGTGCCCCGAATCACAACATGTTGTCAAATCATCTTGCAAAGGAAGGGTGAAGCAAAGATGTTTTGTTCAGAGCGTGGTGGTGATTTTGAGAGATTTTTTTTTAGTGTCGAGGGAATCGAGAATAAAAAGGGGTTCATTATTTCATATATGGCGAAACATATGCAGTCTGCTGTCCATGTTTTTGTTCACAGTAATCTTAGGATGGGTGTTGGTAACTCCTTTGATCTGCGTCTGTTCGTCTGTTACTCTCTGACATTCATGCTTAGCGGCTATAGCAAGATCATCACAGACACTTTCAATGTTTCTATGGCGAATTGTGCGATTTGGAGGAGCCATCCAAGTGATTGGTTCTAAGGGTTCGCTAGGCAGTTACAAATCTGGTATAATTTGTGTGTTGGTTAGAAGTTTCCGTTGATATCTTTAGTCGTTATATTGTTTAGGTCGTATAGAACTGGGCGTTTTGTTAGTTTTCTCATTGTCTGTCGGGGTATAAGTCAATGCTTTATTTTTGTATTCTAACTTCATGGAAGCATTGATTTGCAATATTTTGGCTCCGGGAAAAATAAAAGATAAAGTATTACGATGATTTTTTTTGCTCGGCAAAATTTGTTTTATCAAGGATTTGAAGAAGGAAACCCAAGACCTAAGTTGTGTGCATCATGAAAAATCTCCCTACACCTAATTAGAGAAAAAGAGTACATACAACTAGGTAACAGTTACACCTCGACAACTGAATAATTATTATGATGTTACACATAAAACTTACTAAGAGACCCATTATTCTATGTCTTGAGAATGCCTTTCCTCTCATGTCTTTCAGCTTGTAGGCCTCAAACCCATTAAGACCCATCTTCCCTCTCTGTAATGTTGATAGGCTGGCTTTCATGTTCCTTATAACCAAGCCTCATAGTTTAAACTGTGTTTTGTACCTTTGAATTATAGTACCCATCTACTTGTCGATTCTTTGTTGCCAATTCTGATGGAGCTTTTAAAAGATATGAACTTCAAATATTAGCAGAATTCTTCAAATTTTCTCCGTAATCGTAACATCTTCGAATTTTGGAACTATTTTTTAGTTCGATGACCGAAAAAATATTTTATATTTATTTTACTAAATTTGAATGTCGAGATTCATACCCCATCAATTTCGATTCGTTAGATTGAACGATAGTTCGCCTTGAGAAATTATCGATAAATGAATAAGTGAATTGCTGATTTGAGGATCAAAGTGCATATAGAGTGAAAGTTGGAACCTTGTACGATTATTATCTCTAAACTTATGTTTAGTGGATTTTGATGAAAATGTAGCATATGTGCCAATCTATAAAGGTGTATATATAATTAGCAAGTATTATGTCATACGTACCAAAAGAAATAGGTATTATGTCATAACTTACAGTTCTAATAATTGTTATATTATATATTATATTAAATAAGTGAAAAACACTAAGATCTCCAGCCTTAGAGGCCAAACTGAATTAGGAGGAGAGAGCATTTCATCTCTAACTTGTTCATCTTCTTTATTTTTCATAGTGCTCCAATTTATGAACATTGTAT